ATCCTTCCCATGAGCAGTGCAGTTCCACGGAAGTAATTAATCATGGGTAGTTTGGTGTAATGGACATTGTCATGCTGCCATTAACTGATCCCCAGGCTCTCTGATGCAGATACCCACCATAATGTCAGTTCTGACATGCAAAACAAAAGAAAGACTGTTTGTTCTAAAAGGTTTTCACTTTGACATTCAGCAGAGCAACACTCGGTGGAGTTTTTACATTCCCAACAGGTTAACATAACAGGACAGCATTTGGCAGGTTCATAGCATCTGTGATTTAGCTCATGAAAAAAAAACACAGCCATACATAAAGTAATAATAGAAAGACTGCTATCAAACTCCCCACCTATTTTTACAAGTTCAGATAAGAGGATGTAGTCATGTGGCTTGTAAAAATAAGAAGCTGCTCTAAATTTGGCCATTGCCCTTTTCAAGGCAGCGTGTTTCTGCACCTGTGGACATCTTGAAGCATACTTGCAGTTTAACTGTGGACTTGAGCTTCTGTGTCAATCCAACCCAGCACCTCATTGTCATGATTATCTCTGGTGATCTGAGTTCAGGTTCTGGCTCTGAACCAGAGACCAAGAGGCACTTTTTGGTGGAACAGCTGAAAAAATCCGCCTGAAGGTGGCGTGTCGGGGTCAGGCGTGTGACCAGTCACAGTAATGTCTTTTTTTTTCATCAATCACAGAGTTGTGTGCCATAATGCCAGCTGAGGTTCACTCTGATGTTCATGGTGGCAATACTCAATTTGGTGGATTGCAGGACCAGTGAAACCCTGCAGAGCTACACAGGGAAATGACTTTGACTGGAACTGTGAACACATTCAAATCATAAATGTAGTTTTTCTTTATGGGCACATGTGCAAAACTTTTTAAAAAATTGCAGTCACAAAGAAAAAGTTTGACAGGATGATTCTGCTAGATATAAACTTAAGTGAAGTTAATGCGTTTTATCCCCGGTGAAAAAGCGGTTACAAAATTCAGTGGACCAGTTGAGCCAAAGAACTACCTTAGAGCCTGACTTTAGCTTTAAAACATGAATACGTTACTATGATCACACAAGTACAGCTGCTTGATTAAACAGTGAACCAGCACATTTTCCGTTACAGTCTGATTCTGTCCATAATAAGTGGATGATGCTTTATAATGCCTAATTAGCAACAGTTTAAATAAAGAATTATAACAGGTCTGTTTTCCACACCAGACCCACAGTCCACGTCCTCATTTCCCATCACCACTGCTAATGAGCGGCTGTGGATAAAACTAGTTTCGTGTGATAAACCATTTTTTCTGTCTTTAAAGTTTACATTGACAGCAGCTGCTTTCAGACTTTTCCAAGGAGTTTCTATAGTTTAACTGTTTCTGAAAGGCCGACCATACGAGACGAGCAGTTATAGACATGCAATAACTAAACAACACCCAAATGAGAGGGAGCTAATTAAGTATAAGAGCCAAGTTACAGACTGTGACAGTAATTACAGAAGCAATCACTCTACATCCTTCCTGCCCTTGCCACACTTCACAACTACCGGCTTCTTTGGAAAACAGTCAAATTAAGGCTCATTAAGCCCCTCTGAGGTTTATAATTAAAAGGCACTTTTATTAGCAAAGTTTCTTTCAATATTTCTAACCATATACTGTTTAATTATATCAATAAACCTAAAGGAAGTCCCTGTGCGTCTCATACTTCAGCACTGATCGAGGAGTTATAGAGCGAGACTAGCCTCGGCAGAGGGAAACTGCTTCTGAGCATGAGGTTGTAACCCACATGTGTGAGTTAGAGTCTGACTTAGAGATAAAAAATGATCAATATTTTCAGGCTCCACACCCAGGCTTTCCTGTTCAGTTGATCAGTTATGAGCTGAAAAGTAAATTACTGCTTTTCTTGGACCCCAACATGACCAGCTCAGTGTTATGTCATTTATGAATCACGTTTAGCTGCTCTGGGCTTTGATTCCTTCATTGTAACTAAAGGAGCTTGAACTTGATGATTCTGGCGTTGCTCTGCATCAGAGGTGGGATACCTCTGCGTGTATGTGTGTGTGTGGCAGTGGTAAACATGCAAGTGATGTGGTCATTGGAGGAAACTAAACAGTTCCGGAACGCCTAAGGAATGAGATCACTCAAATTAAAGCGCGTGGCAATTACCAAATGTTAACAGGCTTAGTCGCCAGTGCAAGTGCAGGAGAGGAGGACACAAAGAGATGGTGGTGGAAGCACTTTAACGAGTAACAGGTGAGTTTTGAACTAAAAGGAAACAAAATAAACAGACTCACAATGCTCATACATAAACAGACACGCACACACCCCAACAAACTTTTTACACAGAAACACCACATCCATGAAAATAGCATTTAATCCATATCTAAAGGCTGCGGTTAGCTCATGAAGTGAGCTGCACTGCATTTAACTCGGCCTTGCATGCTGGTCCCCAGTTGAAGCGGAACACTGCGGCGATATTAGCAGAGGCTGTTGAGATTTTGATTGCACTTTGTGGTGCAAATAAACTCAGGAATGAACAACACCATTCAGCTTTTCCAGGCTCCTGGTGAATGCGAGGGCGAAATAAACCGTTTACCAGCTCTGTTTCTCTTTTGTTCCAGCTACACGACCAAAGAGCTCACTTTGGTGTTCAGAAACTGTTAATGCTGGTAATGATTTGAAGGTTTGCTGCACGAAGCAGTCGCCAGTAAAATGTAATCCCTCGTGTTTTGCATTTAGCCTTCAAAAGAGGACCGATTGCGACCTTGTGTTTTTGCATCTCACTTTCAAATGCATCTCTTTATGTGAAATCTCTCGAATAACCCAAATGAATCTGTCCACAAGAAATATAGCAGGGAGTCGTCCTAAATAAATGCTAGCATAAAATACATTTGACTTAAAAGAGAGGACTCTTGCAATGGAAACTCCCCACAGGAAGACAGCGGTTTACCAAACTGTCCAGTGTGTTCTTCCCTCTGCACTGGTGCAAAGGGCCTCATTCTGCATCTCTCTGTGTGTTCTGTTAATGAAAGACTCGCTTTAATGAGATCTGAAAGGAAGAGGCTCTTGAGCGCACAGCTGCTGAATCTTCTACACTGACCTCGGCTGGGAGACAAGCGATGGACGGAAAGACGAGAGGTGGTTTAAAAAAAGAAAGAAAGAATGACAAACACAAAAGCAGATATGAGAAAGAGAGGGTGAAATAAGAAGATAGGAGAGATGCTGAGATTTCTGCCATGCTTGAAAGGAAGACAGTGCCATCTAGAGACCTCACGGCAACAGTTGTTGTGCACGGGCATGCATGAAGACCTGTTAAATCCATTCACTTACACACTGGCATCTCTAACTGGACATAGTCTTACTTTCTGTTATTTATCTCTCTAACACTGATGTTCACTCAGATTTCTATCATTTAAATTTGATTTTATCCAGTTTTGGTCCTTTTGTCTTTACAAAACAGACACACTGTGAAGAAACATGTTGGCAGGAAGTCTTTATTTACCGCCCGAGAGTTATTTTTTCAGAAGCTATCCCAGTCTTTCTTTGCAGGTCTTTGCCAGAACTGCTGGATTGATAGCCCTCATCTCCGCTCTGCTGTTGAGCTCCCTGCTGCTTTTATTCAGGGTTTCCCAGGCTGTGCATTTTCCACTGGGCCTCTTATGTTTTCACCAAAATGCGGTTTTCTCAGCCATCGTGGATATCCTGGTTCATTCATCGGCCTCACATCAGTAATACATGAACCCACTGAGACATCGTCACTCTTGTTTTAAAAATTACGCATCTATAAATATCACAAGCTGAAAAACAACAATGAGAAACAGCAAGGCTACAGTCATGAGAGATGAAACATAAGACTAAAAACTCAAATTTGGAGCAAACCAATCATTGAAACTAACAGTGGATGCATGCTCTCAGAGCTAGGACTATGAGGGTTCCCTAGGCTGAAAAAGATTGAGACATGATATTTTGGACTACAAAGAGATCTTGGACGGGACTGCGAGGAAAGGAGGAGAGAGATAATTATCTCTAATTAGCTTTGTTCAAGGAAGATAGCTAACAGAACAAAGACCACGCAGAGGGATCCTACTTTGGAAGACTGACCCACTCACCCACCTCCCCTCGCTCACAACAAATGAACACAAAACACAAGAGATATTATACAATTACATACATTTACTCATTCAAATAGAGATGAAATATATAAAGCACAACTGTCTCAACATGGTCAACATTTAAATGTCAATGTTTGAGGACAAGATAGGCTGTGCAACAGACATGCACAGTACACAGTAGGTGCAGTAGACTCCCAGAGATGGCATCTAATGAATACAAACTTATTCTGTTTATCACAAATAGATTTCATTCACTAGTTGACAGATTGTCAATGTCACAGAAAAGGAGTTTCATTACATTTGTTGAAACAATCTAAATGCCCCCCTGACAAAAAAGGCTTTTTTAAATTTTTATTTTGATGCTGACGTGTACGTCACAAAATGTAAACTTTACAATCAAGGTCCTTAAATTGCTCATCCGGAACATCACACTCGATTAATTTGGATTACCGTAACTAACTCTGGTCTGATCAATCTTTGAAGCCACTTTTCCCAAACTCAAAGTTAAGGCACGTGGCTAACAAAGAGGATCTAGCGTGTGGATTTTTTTGCACATTTTTGCCGTCATTCTGCCTGGTTTACATAAAACAACAACCAAACAATTCAAGGAGCTGCATCTGGACAATATTCTTCTCTGCCCGTGGATGGGGTATTTATAACATGGCTTGTTTAAGTCGTTGCTTCAAATGAGATTCTCGCTCTGGTCGTTGAGCTAAAAAGTGCTACTTGAAGTATTAGCAGGACTCGTCCTGGTGATCTGGGAGGTCACAAGGCAAACATTTAGAATACACACACAGTTTCCACAAGTCAATACACAACTATGGCTTCTCTGATAAGATAAGAAGCATTTTACACGGCGAGGAAGATTTTTTTTTTTTTACATAAATGATGATTTCCAAACAAATATTATTTGGAAAATATTATTAATAACTATTTCTTAATAAAAAATAATAAGCAATTAGCAATCTGGGTTTACAGTGTTTATGCAGTAGTGTGTCTTTGGGACTGACTGAGGTTTCTTTTAAAGACTGGGTTAAATGAACATTTAACAAGACCAGTAGGTGGATGATGGTCAGTTTTGGTGAAGCAAGAAAATCTTGATAGGTTCTGGAAGCGGTAAAGAAGATATGTGGTTTAGACGATTTTTGCCCATCGTTCTGCGGATCCTGATGCGACACAAATGTGTCAGCCTACGAGGGTTTCCTGGGAGAAGAAAAAATAGATGCAGCTGAACAACTGCATATACTTTCATGCTTTTGTATAAGTAGAAACATAAAAGTGTGGCTTTTAATGACCTTTTTCATTGTACTTTATGGGCTTCTTTATATCAGCTCCTCAGCATCAACAAATGTCCAGAAACATGCATTACAAGGTCCCTGTTTCATGTAAAAGCAGCTAAGCTTTAACACGAGGAAAAATGCTTATTCTAAACATATTTGAGATGAAATCCTTAAACTAAAAGCAGTAATCTGCAAACTCGGGTCTTTACAGAAAGAAGAACATACGTGTTGCTAATGACATTAATGATGCTTCATCATAAAGCCACAAAAGCCTTCATTCACAAACTAATGGTGTCTGAAACTACTTCCTTGTTTTCACTTTTACTACACCCGATAAGACTTTTTTTCCCATCAACTGGAATTTGTTTTTGTTTCCATTGGTAACCACAGCTCTCCTCTTTATCACTTGACCACATTATGCAGAGAAATGATATTTTAATGCACTGCTATGCTAATGACACATTGCTTTACCTCCCAGTAAAATCCACTGACATCAAACCTGTTTACTGCAAGAATCCAATCGATATTGAATCTGAGTGAGCCTCTGACTATTATTCATGCTTTTACTTCATATCTCTCAGAACGCTCTATCGGTCATTTAATCAGTATTAATCAGAAATCAGTTAATGAACTACTTAATGAACAATCCGAACCAGCAATACGAAATGTAAACATATGACACCAGTTTTATTGATTCTACATTAAATCCACAATTTTGAGAGACAATTTTACGAAGCTCTACAAAAACTCACAACTTATTAACTAAAAAATATTCTGGTATCGTGAGGAGGTGCACCAAAAAAAGCTCCCTGCCGGAGCTTTGTATAAAGCAACAGCATCATTTTTTGTTACTTACTTTTTCCTTCCAAGAAGACACTGAGTGCCTCTGGATCAACTTTCCTTCGATTTGGAGCCTCCAAATCCGAATCATCCCAGGGCACGAGGGCTGGGTTCGCTCCGTGGTCCAGCAGCAGGTGGATGAAGGCCACTTCACATCCGTGTCGCAGGACTGCATCCAGCAGGCAGGAAGCCAAACCTCGTGTCAAAGCCTCATGGCAGACAGGACCTGTGTAATTGAAGTCGGGCTGAGCGCCGGCCTGGAGCAGCAGCCGGAAACAGTGAAGGTGGTGGTAGGCTGCGCTTATGTAAAGAGGGCAGACCACTAGAGTGTTGAGGGTTCGAGCGCTTAAAAGGAGCCGCGGACCCAGCTGGTGGTCCATGTCAACATCAGCATTGAACCTAGACAAAAATGTAACCATAGACTAAATTTTCTTTCATAAATCCTTGATGCAAACTAAAGGAAAGAATACAGAGATATTTATTACTGTGGAAAAATATAAATTGAGAAGCTTTCCTCTTTACAACAAATCCATTTGTTGTATAAAGGAATTCAGCGTCAGAACATCGTTACCTGGTCTGCTGCACGTCAGAAAACTCTGGACTCTAACTGCTGAAAATTTTCCTCCACAGAAAGTTGGGTCGGATTCAAAGTGCAAGTTTCAGGTCTGTTGTGAAATCGTAGTGCTACGGTGCCAGGGGTCATAATGGGACTTCCAGAATTGATCTAAAAACTGCAGCTGGGGAAATGCTTCTGAATTTAATGGTTGGTGGGGTTTTTATGTTGGTTTTTCGGTCTTATGTTTGTCTTTTTGCTTTCTGGGAAAGGTGACAGAAAATGTTTTTTAAAGTCAGGAAGTTACAAAACTGCTATTGGAAATGATTGCACCACAAAGAAAGTAGTGGATTAAAAATGCAAAGCACAGATAATCTCATGTGCAAAGATTAAACCATATGAAAAGAAACTGTAATAACTGGAACCGACTCCCACCAGTTTTCAGTGGCGGAATGGAAGATAAAAACAATTTTAGTGCCAATTTTCTTTACGTATTTAAACATTTAACCTATATATAAAACAGTTCTGTCCATCTAGACTTTAGTTTGATCCTTCCCAAGGCTCACCTGATGAGCTCCTGCAGTATGTCCAGCCTCCCCACTCGTGCAGCATGGTACAGCGGGGTACTGCGGTGGTGGCGGCTACCATTGGGATCGGCTCCAGCTTCAAGAAGAATCCGTACACAGTCCAGGTGACCATTAACCACAGCTACATACAGAGCTGTTTGGCCTTTGACATCAACTAGGTCCACCTCGGCTCCCTGAGCGATCAGATAGGCCACGCATGCTGCGTGTCCCGCTGTGGCTGCAATCCTCAGAGGGGTGCAGGGCAAACAGCCACAACACCACACAGACTTCTCATTGATACGCCTAACACCAAAACAGAGAAAGGAGAGGTCCAGGGTAATACGTTTCCAGTTTAAGCGCATTTACAAAGAAAAAAAAACAGTCTCTAATTTTATGGTACATCAACCAAAAAATACATATAAGTTATAATTTCATTTGCATGTCATTGAGGGAAATAAGTATTTCATCCCCTACAAACCAGCCAGCATTCTGGCTCCTACAGATTACAATCATTCAGTCAATAACAGAAACTCCTGATCTCAGCTTCTTATATGCATAAAGCACACATGAGCATACAATCAGTTTCTTCCATTTCAACCTCTCCAAAAGATGTCAAAGGTCATCAGGGGTAAGATCGTAGGCCTGTGGGTGCGATTATTCAGAAACTGAAGAAAAATAAAATGACCATCAGTTGCCCTCGGTCTGGAGCGAGAAAAGTGGTGGATCAGCCCAAAACTGCATGAGAGGAGCATGTTAATGGTCTGAAGGCAGTCGTGACCTACACTGGGAACACACTACACCATAATGGACAGAAATCTCACAGCATCTGCAAGCTCTCCCCTCTGAGGAAAGCACTTTGGGTTTGCCAGTGAAGAGAAATACTGAGTATGACCCAAAGAACACCATCCACACATCCAAGCACAGAGGTGGAAACATTATGCTTTGGGGCTGTTTCTCTGCTGAGAGTATAGGATAACTTCACTGCATTGAAGGGTCCAGTGGATGAGGCCATGTACTGTAAAATCTTGGATGAGAACCTCCTTCCCTCAGCAAGAACACTGAAGATGGGACTTGGATGGGTCTTCTAGCATGACAATGACACAAAACATTCCACAAAGGTTACAAAAGAGTGACTGAAGAAGAAGTACATTATGGCCAGTCTCCAGATGTCAGTCCTACAGAAAATCTGTGGAGGGAGCTGAAGATTTAAGTTGAAACATAAAGCATTTACAGAGTTTCTGTGAAGAGAAGAGATGTGTGCAAACCTGGTGACCAACTACAAGAGACGTCTTACTGCTGTACTTACCACTCAGTACCAACTCGTGTTTTGCTTGGGGATCAAATACTTATTTCACTCAATGACATGAAAATACTTTATGATTTTTATGGATTTTTAGTTGATATTCTGTCTCTCTCCATTAAAATGAAACTACCATTACAATTAGAGACTGTTTATTTCTTTGTAAGCGAGCAAATTTAAATGTTCACTAGAGGATCAAATCGTTATTTCCCTCATTGCATGCATGCTCATGACTATGAGATGGCTCTGTACGTATGTTCTCCAGTTGGTAAATCCAGGCTCTGATTCTGCATCAATAGGAGGAAGCACTGAAGCTAACAACAGCAAAGCATTTTGCATTACAGTGCTTTGGTGGTTACTGGACTGAGCCACTGAAAGGTTCTCTGTGTATTTGTAGTCCTCCCGTAGTGCTGCAGGGCTGCTTCCCTCCACAAGGTTTCCACAGATATCAGAGTTGTAAACTGCATGTTTTTTACTTTTACTACATCAAATTTAAATTCTGTTACATGCACTACATTTGTAGTATATTGCTTTGACATTGCATTGGCATTAAACTATGATCCTCTAGCTGTATGCAGTTTAATGCTATGGGTATTGGAAGACACCCATCCTGCTGTAAGATGATGGTAACAGCAGCCTGCTTTTGGTCTGTGTTTACTCCTATGAAAATGATTTGGAATAAGGTTATCTTTGGACTTGTTTGGGGGGAAAAGACAGTTCTGCTGTAAGAGACAATAACAAATATACTATTCTGTAATCTTTATACAAAATAAATCTATAGTCTGTCTCAGATTCTGCTGTCTCTCTGCCTGCAATGTCATCCCATCCCTCAAAGTGCAGCCTTTGTTTTGGTACCTTATCATTTTCATTTGTATTGATGTTTTGCTTTATCATTTACCAAGTAAAGCATGTGTTAACTTTGCTAACTAGAGAGCCAAATACACTTATTACTGCTCGGCCTCACCGTCTGAAACCGTCTTCCTGCAGCAGGTTCCTCAGGGTGTCCAGATCTCCGACATAGGCCGCGTTGTGGAGGCGCATGTCATCCTGCTCCAGGGGTTTGTCGCAGAACTGCTCCTGCAGCCATTCCTTCAGGTTACGACCTGCCAAACACAGCATTTCAAGGAGAATAACAGAAATGAAAAGTTGGTTTTGTCTGGTCTTGCAGGGCGATTTGTTACCATACAAAATGATATTTTGAAACTATTCTGCATATTATCAAGTGTAAATGATATCTCAGCTCAAATACACATAAGACAAAATACACATAAGGTGGCTGCAGATGAGCAGCAGTGGTGTAGTGACATTTTCTCATGTCTGCTCCATGCTGTGCTCAGAGAACTCCCACAGATGGAGATGTACACAGTAAAACAGCTCCTGAAATACACATTATAAGGATCCACGTTACACTAGGCTATGTTCTGCAGATGTTTCTATTACCGTGAGCTCTTCTGCCTGAGCCTTCAGGTCAAATCAATCCTTCACAACTCTATTACTTGTGTGACTAGACAGAAAAACAGATGAAGTGTCACAGCTATACTGCAGCACTGGAGATGTGAACGCTTCCTGAATCCATTGGCCACACCTTATTAGGCTACAGACCGTCCCCTTCTTCCTCCTCCTCCCAACACCACCACATCTGTACTATGTCACGCATATTGGCCGTCCTCCTGCAAACGGGGCACAGTTGCAGGACAGCCTGTGGGTGCTTGCGATGATCAATCATCATCGCTTACGGTTCTCGCAGCCATAGTTACCTGCAGCTGTAGCGCTGGGTAGATCGGACACGGTGATGAGCGGGGGGAAATTGATGCTGGGTGGGTCGTCAACATCAGCCTCTGGACCGTCGGCCATGCTCCCAAAATGGTCACAGCGTCAAGCTGAAGGTTGGTGCTGCGGCTGCAGAGCGACACTGGGTCCCCAGAAATAGAGAAACCCAAGCGACCTGGGATCAGATAAGAAGCATGAACGTAAACAAACGTGACTGTGATGATGAAGACGTCTGCTGCTCCAGCTCACTGCGCCACTTCCTGGCTGAGCTCAGCTGCTGGGATTTAAAGGGGAAACGCTGCGTTAAACGTGGAGCTGATGGTCTCCGACTTTAAAGCACTGTT